AAAGAGCCAGGGTGCAAGCCCAGTGGTCCAAACCTGAGCTCGGGCCCTGTGTGCCACACACAAAGTCTTCAGGGCCGCGGATGTCTGCTTGTCACCAGACGCCTTGGAGCCTCCCTGAGAATTCACAGAATACAAGTCTTCTGATGGAGAAAATCCACCGTGTGTGGAGCCTGGCAGGAAGTGGGAGGCAGGAGGGAGGCTATTTTGGAGAAACGACATGAAAAACCACGAAACTTCCTACCTGTCCTGTGTGGCTCCCATCTGTCCTCGGAAACAAGGCTGCCCCTTTCTTAGATAAAAAGGTGTTTCTCCCCACACAGTGGCTCTGCCATTGGTGCTCACAGTGCGAACACTAAGCTTAGCACATGCCAGCTATTTTTAAAGAACTACACAAACAAACAGGGCTATGTAAATATGAAAAAAAAATGAGGTCATCCTTTAAAATCTAAAAATGTCTCTTTTCTATGGGGTGAGTAGCAAACGCTCAGGAAGGCCTTGGGTGGTTTTATCCCCTAGAGACTTTTCAGCTCAAGCTTCTCAAAGTCACCAGGCCTGGCTTTCCTTTCCCTGCACCTGCTGAGGGGACACCAGGTGGCCTGAGAGCTGTGACTCCTGGGTTTTACTCCTGGCTCTCAGAGCTTTAAAGCCACTGGTCAGTCCCAGCACTATTTCCTCGGGTCTCCATCCAGTGGAATGTCCCTTCTAGGGACAGCAAAGGCCCTTGGCATAGCCGTTAGGAGATAGCTCTGTGCTTTCAGTTCCCTGTCATCTCTCTGTACATTTTAATCTTCCCCCAGGCTCCTTTGCACCTCTCTCTCCATGTTGGTAGATGCAGCCATGCCAAACAGCTGAGTTTAAGCCCTCACCTTTGGCTAAGAGACGTTGCAGGCCTCAGGAGGAGCTCAGTGGGACACTCTATACTGCCTAAGGACTTCTTTCACCATTGACCCTGGTCCTGCTGGGACCCCACTGCCACCCAGTGATTCTTGCCTTTGTCAACAGCATCACAGCTCTTCTCCCTTCAGCCATCTCTTACCCAATCTTTCTCTCCAGCCTCCTGTTATTCTCAAACACTGAGATCGAGAGTCACCAATGTTTGCTAGAGGATGGTTTTCAAATTGTGTTCCATGGAAATGCTTAAGAGCTCTTTCAATTGTTAACATGAGAATTTTATCCTAAAAATGTAGCTTGACTCCTATTACCACCAAACCAGAAAACCAACCTGCACGTTCAGACGTGATCCATAATAGCACATTGTGACCTGTGGAACACAGCCAAAGGGCAGTGCCAGCTTCACTTGGCTTGTGTAGACCATGGAATGAGATTTGGGTTGATCTTGAACTTCAGATCTTGAACTTCAGGGCTGACATATGTCTTCCACTAGGAGTACTGGGTTTGGGTCCTTTTAGTGGGCATCTTTGTGTGGTTGTTGTTGTTGTTAAGTTTGGGACCGTGCACACACACATCAAAACAAACAAACACACACTGAAGCTTTCAGTGACAAGAGGATGCTATTATCATACAAGCATCATAAATGATCATGGGCCTCCCTCTCTGACTTGTTTGTGATAAGAAGGAATTCAAGCAGTTATCGAGTACTAGACTAGAGAGAGCTCCCTTCTACCCTCCCCTGAGTACTCAGGTGCCTTGGAACTGAGGCTCACTCCATGGCTGCAAAGTGTGCTCTTGAGAATCTGTTACCATCCACTGCACAGCTGGGCCAGGCAAGTAAGGAGAGAGGAGTGCTGGATGGCTACAGCTGACAGAGCAATACGATGGCCATCCAGGGCAGAGGTCAGCAAAGCTTACCTGGTTTCAAGGGACGGATGATCTCAAGCAGCTGTAGATAAAGTGTATGTGTGTGGTGTGACTATGTTCCAATAAAACTTTATTTACAAAATCAGGTGGCAGCCTGGATTAGACCCACAAGCCATAGTCTGCGGGTCCCTGATCTAAAACCTCATATTTCAGCATTTTTATGCAGCAAAGCAAAGTTATTACTCTATTGATACTTTCATAAGTAAATGTTGAACACTTGAACTTATAAAAATAAATGTGTATTAATAAACTGCCACTTTAACCTGATTTAACATTGGCATTCCAATCAAGATTGGACTTTTACAATGGCTTCTAGCAGGGAATAGTGGTGCACATCTGTAGCTCCAGCATTTTGGAGGCTGAGACAGGAGAATCAAAAGTGTGAGGCCAGCCTGAGCTACGCAGTGAGTTCAAGGCTGGCCTGGACTACATAGGAAGAGTGCCTCAAAAAAACAAACAGGCAAATAACCCCAAAACCCCCCAAAATGAAACAAACAACAACAAAACAAAAAAGTGTTCTGATAAAATAATTTGAAAATTGCTAGCATGAGAAATCTGCTGCTGACAAAATGCTTCCACGCCCATTTATTTATTTATTTATTTGGCACTGTGGATTGAACTCGGGACCTTGCACTGGCGAGGCAGGAGACAGAATCACTGAGCTAAACCCCCTGACCCCTCCATGCCTGTTTTTAAATTAGCTTTGTCCTCTGATCACTCACTCAGATGCTACATTTATTCTACAGAGAGTCTTAGTTCATGTCCATCTTAAAGAAGGACTATGACCCCATGTTTCTTTGCCCTTAAATGACTCCAATAATTCTCCTGGGAACACAGATGTTCCCAAACCTCAAGTGGCACTAATGGGCCCCGCCCTTCCCTGGCACAGGGGAGTCTGCTAGCCTTGCACCTGCTGGCTTGGACCATGCCCCTGCCCCCACAGATGCCATGCATTTCTAAGCTGATAGGCCAGACGTGTCACAATCACCTGGGCCCTTCAGCAACACTGAGTCAGCACCCTATTCACCATGGATGCGCTGTTCCCGCGGGAGAGCACAGGAAGTGGGAGGGGCAGATTTCTGGCTGGAACTGGCAGCTCATTTCCTGCTAGCAAATCTCCTCCTCTACAGATTTCCCCCTGCAGCTGGCAGAGCCCATGAAGACAAAAGAGATTTGGGGTATCAAATGGGGGAGGACAAATTCCAGATCTAGGGAGGCTCCTGGGGGTTGTCCTCTCAGAACTCTGTCTGCAGCCCTTAGAGGGTGTGTTCTGTTTCCAGACTAGTTCCAATGCCTATTGCATCCCTCAAGCAGTCAGTGCAAACCTTGCCCCCTATGACTGCTAGTGGAGGAGACCCACGCACAGAGGGAAACAAATGCAAAATCAAGGTACCAGGAAGTGTCCCAGGGTGCCAAGGAAAGGGACTCATTCATTATAGAGCACCATTGTTTCCTATTAAAATGCAGATATTCTTAGGGAAAGGCCATCCCTGAAGTTATAACTGCCTTTCTTCAGGAGGTACCTTAACAGGAAAAAAACAGTGGTAGATCTTTTGCAGCTAGAGATTCTGCCCCCTACTAGTTGTGTGACTGTATTTAAATTACTGAACCTCTTTGTGCTCATTTCCTTATCTGCAAAAGAATCAACAGGCCCAGCATTACTTGCAGGACTCAGACTAGCAGTAAAGCTGGTCCCTTGACTTCATCCTGACTCCAGACCTTGTGTTGGGAGCAGGTGGCAGAGTGTAGCAGATATATCACAGGAAGGGTGGCGGCTGAGCTGCCTGCATCAGTGGCAGAAGGTGGTGGGAAGGCTGCTCATGTGTGGGAAGCCCTTGCTAGGTGTCTGGCTGTGTTCTAGAAACCTCACCTGCATGTTCACAGCACCCCTGTGAGGCAGGAGCCACTGCTATCTTGTTGGGTGAGTGAGAAAGCTAAGACCAGGGAACGGAGCAAGTTACCTCTGAAACCAGTGAGTAGTGCACAAAACTAGTACCTGTGGGAGCTGGAATCTGAACTCAGGGAAAATTCTATATAGCAAGCACTCCATGAAAACACCCCCCCACACACACACATACAAATTAGGCTCAAATACCCAGTTCTTCCTAAGGATCAGGGAATGCTCCCTTCACCTCTGTGGGAGAGCCCTGCTCAAGGCACAGGCTGCAGGTGTGCTGCTAAACCATGGGCAGAAGCCAGGCCTTCACCACCACATAGTCCATGCGGCTACAGCCATGTCATCTCTGAGGTAGTTTGTGGCCTCAGACACTGCTCTGCACAGTGAGAAAACTTCTGCTCTGAGGAAAGGAGATGAGTCACTGCTCACACTCAGCCACGCTGGGAAACGCCCCTTGGACGTCACAGTTGCACAGTTGAGACCACAGACCCAAACACAGGATGGAGTGAGCGTGTCTAGAGCTCCCAGAAGCCCTGAGTATCAGAACTCTGGATTCATCAGAATTCAGATACAGACTGTAGCATCCTCCATCCCCAACCACCTGATGGAGGGGGAATGGGTGTGCCAAGAAATCCACTTTCCTTCTGCTTTCTTAACAGCCAATCCTCTCCCACCCTGCCAGCTCCCAGGTGATCTTGATGCCCTCAGTACCAGACAAAACTTCCTAGGCTGTATTACTGCCCTAAAGAGCTTCTAACACTGCAAAACTAAGCTGAATCACAGACTGAACATGTATCCTGAAACCACAGCATGTATCTGAGAAGCCAGAAATATGTAAACATACACTGGGTTTGGGGCCCCATCAAGGCTAATCCAATCGGTGTCCCCGGAGCAGGGCTCTGGTACTGGAAGACTGAGAACTTCCCAGATGATTCTAAAATGTGACCTGTGATGAGGGGCACCATGGCCCCCAACCTGACATTCTTCCAATTCTTCCACCAGGGGGCCCTGTGGAGCTGTTGCTCTGCCCTCAGGGGCTGCTGCCTAGCTCCCCTGACTGGACAGTGTTGCATTTCTGGGAGATAACATGAGGATGGATGGCAGGGAGGACACCAAGGGCTCACTCTTGACTAACTGGTCCTGAAGACTGACACATCAGCTTTCCCAGGGACTCAAGGAAGGCAGTGATAACCATAATAACCTTTTCAGTGGAAGAACAGAAACAAACTCATACTTGATCAAAATGGCGCTCTAGCAAGTCAGCCCAATAACAGCTGCTTCTTACCTGTGCTGAAGGCACCACTTCCGGTGACCAAAACTAAAACGCTCTTCTCTCTGGAAACCAGTGTTCATGTCCACTCCTGTTGAAGCTGCCTCTTCTCACGCAGGGCTCTTCTCTCTGGAGGGGAGAGCTTTCCTGTCCAGGGTCTCTTGAGGCTCCTCCATGAACTACTTCAAGGACTGTTGAGTTTTTATCTCAGATCCTGTAGGGATGATTGAAAGTCATGGTCAGAGAGTTTTCTTGGTCAATTTCTTTAGACACAGAATAATTTCTGTCTGATCCCAGCAGGCCAAGTCCCCAACTCCTCCCAAGCTGGTTTTCTTGGTGCAGGGTCTGATTCCCATATCTCTCAAGGAGATGGTGAAGTGACACTGGAATCCACTCTACACCCTTATGCCCAACCCCAAACTTCCTGAGCCTGGTGGTTTTTCACCAGCATGGTTAGCAGGATTTTAAGAAGGGCCTCAAAACTCTTCCTTAACCCATTGCCCTGTGTACAGCGCTGCACAGTTTCTGGGTCCAGGGATATGCTAGATGATTAGGTTCGATTATAGGGCAAAAGTGACCTTGAAATAGGGAGGTTATCAGGGAATGAGCTAATCAGAAAAGCCCTAACAGGAAGTTTTGTCTGGCTAGTCAGAGATAAAAAGTCAGAGGGATTAGAATTAGGATTCAACACCCCTTCCTGGTTTGAAGATGGAGGGGACATTTGGGAAGGACCTGGAAGCAGCTGCTAGAAGTGTGAGAGCAACAGCCTAGCTGACAACCAGGAAGGAAACAGAACTTTAGTCCTACAACCACGAGGAACTGGGTTTTGTCAATATCCAGAATGAGCTCAGTAAAGCAGAATGTCCCCCAGAGTCTCCAGACACAAGCTGGGTTCCAAGACCCCCGTGTTGGCCTAAGAAAGTCCAGCCACTCCATACAGATGTCTGCCTTACAGAGCTAAGCTAACAAAGGGGTGTGGTGTTCAGCCACTAAGTGTGAAGTTTTTAAACAGCAAGAGAAAACTAACGCACCTGTACAAGTGACGGGACTGGGGCCTGGTGAGGATCTAATACAGTAATAGACATAAGAGTACATTGTATTCCCCAATCATTGAACAAAACAAAGTGTTCAGAGCCAAGAAAAGCTGCCTGGGTCAGGGCAGGATCTCAACAATGATCACTGAATGGATGGATGGATGAGTGAACATCAGTTTTTAACAACTGACTTAGCAGGCTGTTGTTAGGGCTCAAATAAGAAAACTCAGAGGAGTGCTTCCTAAACCAGAAAACATGAGTTGATCTTGCCATTTACAGTATAGCACATCACATACACACTGTACCCTATTGACTATGCTCTATTTGTCTGCTCTGGACAGTGTGATGGGATGGCTGAGAATGTAGCTTTCAGGGTTAAGACACCTGAGTTCAAGCCCTTCGTCTTCTACTTATGACCTCAATAACTTTCGAAAGTTGCTGTGCCTGAAAAGGGGGCTAAGAATGGTGAGTACCTCCCAGATTTTTCACGAGTCAGTTTGCATAAAGGGCCTAGAACAATGCCTCACATGTGAAACATAATTGCGATAGATTTTGTTCCAGAGTGGAACTTGACAGTCTAGGACTGGAGTCACCTTATACAAGCCTGGGGCATTGTCCCCTTTCCTCTTGGGCACTATGCTTTTCATTAACCCAACTTTGAAATGATTAGTGCTGGGCAACCACATTATACTGTGGATTCCTGTTAAATACACAGGGCACAGGCTCAGTGGTTCCACCACCTGCCGCGAAAGTACAAGGACTCAAGTTCAATCCCTGGTACCAAAAATAATAAAATAAAATAAAATAAAACAAAACACACAGGGTACCCGAGCCTCTCTGCTATCCTTTGCCCACCATACCTGCCACTATGAAATCCAGCCAGTTCTGTTCCACACCTCAGGACATCATCCCACTACCACACAGTGGTAAAACTGGACTTGCTCCATGGCTGTCATCTATTATTTGCTGATTTTGTCATCAGAACCATCCAAAGACTTCACAATTCCACAGTTCTCCATTATTCCTAGGTCTGACCTTATGCCTTCCAATAGGTTGCAATTATTAATTTAAAAAATGGTGATGTGCTATTCTTCCCTTTGATGTCTCAGAACATATTGTTCCACAAACAGAGTGCATCATTTCCTACCTCCAAGCTTTTGCTTGGGAAGTTCCTTCTTGTTGGAATATTGTCCCCTCTCCAACAGCCCTGTCTACCTGGCCCAATACTGCTTATCTTCCCTCAGCTGTTTGAGTCACCTCCCACAAGGCCGGGTACAAATTCTGCCTCCTGGAACACCAAAAGCGTATTTGCTATGCCTCTCCTAAGTCTAAGGAGGAGGAGGGAGAAGAGGGGGAGAGAATGAAAAAATAATTGAGATGTACTATGTATGTGTACCAGCTCCCCATGATGAATGTAATCATTATGTAGTACCGCAAACATATACAAAAAAAAAAAAGACTAACTAGAGTGTCTGCTGTGCAAAAAGACACCATGAGCTACAAGTTCCTCCACACTGCATGAAGCCCAAGTGTCAGCATGACACACTGCCAGCCCTTGACACACAGAAGCCCTTTAGAACACAATTTTTTGGTTCATTCATTTCACAGATGTACATTCAGTGCCTGTTTGGGCTGGACTGGGTGGGAGGTACCAAGAATAAAAAATGACCAAGATATAGTCCCCCTTTGAGAAGAATACAGTGGAGTGTCCATTTTGATGGCATCCAAGTGTGTGTGTGTGTGTGTGTGTGTCTGTGTGTGTGTGTGTAGGAGAGAAACAAGAGGGGAAAAGAGACAGGATATAGAATGTTCAAGAAATCACATGTAGTCCCTGTGACTGGAGCAAAGGAGCACTCATGGCTACTGAGGGAGGAGATGGGCAGGAAAGCAGTAAGAGGAAGGAGTCTGGACTAGAAGTGAAACCACAGGACTGTTCTGACCCATAAGGTGATGAAGTCAAGACAAAGGTGTAGCTCAGGGTAGATGGGATCAGGTGGAAGCAGGGAGACTTCTGTGGGAGCCACAAGAGTGAGACAGTCACTGATGCTGCACGTCAGAGAGCTGCCCCACCACACCTGTGTCCACAGGTGTCACATGCAATTGAGGTTCTAGATGCCAAGCTGAACCCATTTGTCTACCACTTCTCCCTAAAATATGACTGAAATAAAAGAGGAATGCAGAAGGAGCACAGCTCCATAGTAGCTTGCCAGGAAGCCCTTGCCAGGAAACAGAAAGTGGGACGGAAGCCCTGCTCAGTCACATCTCACCTGGCCTGGCAGGGACAGCCCCCTTGGCAAAGCAGGAGAACTGCTCAGAGGTAGAAGGCCACAATCTAAGCATAAGAGAATCCTCTGGGTTTAAATGGAGGGAAGGGAAGCTACTAAGAACAGAGACTATCCACCACATATGGCCTTCAGTTGCATGGCTTTACTATTCCAGAGGCCTCTAGCCTGGCAGATGAATTGACTCCTTATTGCAGAAACTTCCTGAAGAATCCATCTACTCTGAAGCCATAATCTGTGTCCTAAGATTCTTTGCATCTCTTATCTGGCCTTAACCTCCTTCCTTTACTGTTTCCTCCCATCCCAGACTATCACGCCATATGCCTTCACAGTCCTGAGCAAGCAATCACACTCCCACCCCCATCTGGAGGAAACTTCTCATCCTCAGTGAAGTGAACCTTGCCTCCTCCTCTCAGACATGCCAGGGCTCTGTGGAGCTCCTGTTTTCCCTTCCCCATGTGAGTGATGACCTGAGGTTGGTCTCACCAACACATTATCTCCATGATATTTGGAGAGCAGGCATTTAACAGTCTCTACAAAAATGGTTAAGGATCAGATTGACATTGGACCTGCTAGTTCCCTTATTAACTGCTGGAGGACAAGGCAAAGACCTGAGAGCTTCGAGGAAAAGAGTTAAAATTATGAGATCAATTACTCACTGAAGTCTCAAAGTGAAAGAGAAGCACTAAAATAGGATGCCACCCACTTATCTATTCTTAAAAAAAAAATAACTCAAGGAATTACTCCAACTAAATAAAAACTGTATCAGAGTAAGTAATTCAAGAAAGGGCAAGACAAGATACACAAGTAATAGCAAAGAGAATAGAATGATTAAAAAGTATGGTCACATCTAAACAAATGTCCATAACCATGAGCTCATCTTCTTGGGAACTAGATGCTATTTAATTCTTGACATGAATAGAGAAATATCTTTTACTGAAAGGTAACTATTTCTAAAAGAAAAACAAGATGAACACCTCTTAAACCAATGTGTGTGTGGTGGGGGGCAAGAAGAACAAAGAAAATTCATTAATTTAGCAAGGATTAGAAATGGAAAAATTAAACAGAAAGCAAAAAATGTAATAAACAAAAGAAGAAAATAAAACTACAAAAGTAAGATCAAACATATTAATGAAGACATTAAATCACTTTATTCTAACTTAAGAGACTAGGATGAGGGCCAGGGATTTAGCTCAGTGGTCCACATGCCTGCTTTGCAAGTACAAGGTCCTGAGTTTGATCCCTGGTACCAGAAAACAAAACAAAACAAACAAATAAACAAACAAAACAAAACAAAACAAAACAACAGAGATCAGGATGAGAAAAACAAAGCAAAACAAAACATCAGGCTATTTCACATTTTGAAGTAATGCAATTAAAACAAATTGGCAAAGAAAGGTTGAAATTTTAAAAATAATGTAAAAAATGTTGTAACAAGCTAAGTGATAGCAAAAAGAATGCGGGAAAGTAAAAATTAAACTCAGATGAGCTGCAAATGTTAGATAAAGTGGGACATTTTATTTTTCTAAAGGGACTAATTCTACACAAATATACATAACTCATGAGGCTGTACTCTCACCAGAGCAACAGGACCATAAAATATGTGAAACAATACGTTCTTACAACCACAAGAAGAAAAGGTAAAGCAATGAGTGCCTTGAGCAGCATTAATAAGTGAGCTGATAGGACAAGTCATCTCCAAAAGATAGCGAGGATTTGCAGATGTAATAGTAAGCTTAACTTCGCTCACTAAGGATATGGATGAAATACCTTTTCCTCAAATGTCACTGAGCCCGGCTGCAAAAAGACTTCAGGTTCCAAAGGGATGGGCTGAATAGAATGTGGCCTCCATTCTCCACAGAAAAATTAAAAATGAACGAATATAAAAAAATAATAAT